GGCTGAATTAGTGCTCCGCTAAATAGTAGCGTTGGGCTCGCGCACCTTCAAAAGCCGCGCACGTACGAGGACCAACGCTTTAATTAAATTTCATAATTAGTCGCGGCGTGTAAGACCGTTTACGAGGTTGACCGCGCCTTGATCTTGCCACTCATCAGCCGTCATGCACTCGAATTGCGTCTATAAATCAGACTCGCACTCAGACCGATTTCATCTCTAAACTCGCTGTTCTCCTTACTGTTCTCCCCGAGAAAAAGATACTGTACGAATCACAGTCGATTAACTAATTAAAATTATAAAACGTAGCACGGAATTACACGTTACATTAAAGAAGTTGAAGTCTGTAGTTTCTAAACAAATAGCGCTGAATTTAGTCTCTGATATATCCAGTCTCTGGCCACTGAATCGGGATCATTCTCAATTTTCAACATTTTAGTAAAAACACGTTGTAAAGTAAATACAGTATATTTCACACATGATAGTTTGTGTTTTACGTATTGCTTAATTAATAAATTGAAAGTGAGATTCGAATTGTCACTGTGGAAAAATTGCAGAAATATGCTTGTCGACGAATCATGAAAATCTTACTCACTCATCAAAAGAAGAATTATATCTATTTTTATATTGTTAATAATTATGAGTAAATAAGACGTATCATTGCGAGTTACATTGTCTATCACTGTGTATCAAATACTATAAAATCGCTTCGTCTTGTAACTGGTATCCTAACAGAATCATCCATTTCGTTCAACCGTGATGATAAATACTCAAATTAATAAGAAGATATAATAATATTAATTACTAACATGCGTGTATCGCTGCAATAATTAATAAAACTATTTTACTAATTTTACTAGAAACACGTAAAGCAATGACAATTCCCCAGTGTTTCTAATTCAATGGCCAAGTTCTGTAAAGTAACCTGTACTTCGCAGAATTCCCACAATTTTCTACTGTACATGGGCGAACAATCGATCGAACAGCCATAGAATCCTTAGCAGGAATCGAGCAATCGTTTTCCGAGAGAGTGCCAGCAGGAAACGTGAAACGTTGCCGTGAATTAGCATAACAAGATTCCGCGGTGTACGTAATGCGGCAACGCCACAGACTTGCCACAGATTTGCATGGTCCATTTAAATACAATTTCTTTTCCTCGATCAAGAAATTACGTGAATACACGAGCGCAACCTCCCTCTCCCTCTCTCTCTCTCTCTCTCTCTCTCTCTCTAACCGTTTGAATGTGTTGCGCGCCGCAACATCGAGGCGGATTAAAGGGGCCTGCATTAAAGCCGCCCTCCAAGGAAAAACCCCGACGAATCTCCATCGTACCTTCCACTTTACGCGCCTTCTGCCTTTCCGCGCCTGTCCCGTATCTCGCGTGCCATGCTAATTAATTCTGCTTGTATATTAATCGTGCTGCCTTTCATGTTGCCCGTTCGGACATGACGAATATTATCTCGCCTAGTCAACCCGGTTTCCTTTCTCATTTTCATAACAAAATCAATTTTCACGAGATAAAGAATTGCTCGAATTGGTCATTTAATGGGTTTTTAAATTTATAACGAAATTACCTTTTGTGAAAGTCAATCGTTCCCATCGATAGCTACAGAAGGAAATTTTTATATATTACGCGCCCCGGATAATGTTGAAAAATTGCTTTGTAAATTATAACGGGAAACGTAAACGCGGAAGCAGGTTTGAAGATTGTTTGAATGAGATGTTTGAAAAATGGTTATTTAATCCTATACGATGATGTCATCTCGAAATAATCTTCAGTTTATTTGAACAAGCAAATGATTCTTTTGGACATGAGTTCGTTATTTGACACTGTCGACCGCATAATCATAAACGCAAAATTTTTCGAAGGCAAAAGTTTAGATATATCCAAGAATAATTAAAACCTGTAGGACTTATCGTCGGAATAATTACTTCGCATTGTGTCTATTTTCTACCTCTAACAATTAGTTTAGTCTATTTTATTTAATATTACACCTTAGAATTTTTATTTAACTCGCGGACGAAGGTTGTATTGAAATCATTAATTATTTTATTCAATGAATTAAGAGATAAGAATATGGAATTGGACATGATCCAATATTCTAAATTGTTATTTATTATTTTTATTTCTCGAGTAAAGTTCACCCAACTGAAGTAACGAAAAAAATTACTCAAATGAAAGTGCGGGTTTTTATACATTTGAATCTTTACGATTTTAAATAATTCTGTCATACCTATTTTAAATATTTTGCACATTTTTGCATGATCTGCGAATGTCTCACGATTGCATAAAAGCCCGTAGTTTCTTAATAACGCGTGAAGACGAGTCTACGTTTTTAAGTAGAACAGATCCGTACATACTCGGACGCCGTAGCTGAAAATTTCTCAGATAATTTCACATGTAATTACGCGTGCTCTCGTTGGGAAACGCGCATTCTATCTCGGATCCCATATCGATTACCGAACCTGCGAGGCCTCTTAGAATCAAGAGAGAAAGAACCACCGAATCTCTGAAATTCCTAGTCTCGTGGTGTTGATCGCTACGAAAAGTAAACGGCATTGTTTCTCTCGTAAAGGATCCAACGTCAGGACGGCGGAGCTACTTCACCGTGAGAGGTTCGCGTCGTTTTTCACTCTGCTAGCCGGTAAGCGATAAGCGAAGCCGGGTGAAACGCCGCGGAAGATAGAAACCGCCCAGCGAATCCTTCGAAACAAATGCCCGGAACGTGCTGGCTTCCACGTGTGTATATACAGATACACGGCAGAGAGACCAGCGCGTTTTCGGCCGGTTGAAGCGATCTGCAAACACGTATCGTACCGGAGGATTACGTGTAAGTATCGCGAACGGTGAAAACGAAAAAAAAAAAATAAACGAGTAAAAAACAGAATTGAACAGAATGGCTCCGGCAAGGCGCAACCTCGAAGAGTGAACGTTTGCGCATACGCGCGGCTCGCTCGCTCGCTCGCTC